CACACACATATATATACACATACTTTCCCAAGAGGGTCTGCATTTCCTTTCAATGTGGCGACCACATGTGCAGGGCTGAAATGAAGGAAAAGAGAGAAAGCGTTTCACTTCTTTCTAAAAGCTGAATACTGCTTCAGTCTGATGGACAGAAAACAAACGTATACACAAAATTGGACTTCAATAATAAAACTCACTGTCAGCGCTGTTGATCGATAGATGAGTATGAGTGTATTTATGCAGTGTGCATAAGTTACTGCATTGTTACGGATGTAAGTAATTGGCCGTGTGTGACCAGGGCTCTTTCTGTGTTTGAGTGTGTGTGTTTTGGGGGCCCAGTCACAGCTGTCTTTGACAGCTGTATCATGGGAAACATCTGATGAAATGTTGCATTATAGATAGATTTGAGTGTAATGTACATCCAGCTGGACAAGATCTCTAGTTTGTGTTTCTTTTTTCAGTTTGGAAGAGTTGAGCAAATTAAGATTGTGTCGGTTTGTGTGTGTGTGTGTATGTGTGTGTGTGTGTGGTAAAGAATGGAACAGGATGTTTACCATGGACATGTCTGTATATTTCTAGTCTAAATCTTTGGCGATAAACTTTCTGAGGTGAGACTTATTGTGTGTGTGTGTGTGTGTGTATTAGATTAGCATTTAGTTGTCTTTTTCTTTGACAATATGCTTGCGTTTATTGTTGCACTACATTCACACTTTTGACAAAATTAGTTAATGCATTTTGCACATTTTTCCACACGTCATTGGAATTTGTTCTGCGTTTTATTTTTTAATTTTAACCTGTTGCTCTTCGAACACCGTTTTCCCAACACCTGTCCGTCTTCCTCTCTGCTCCTCCCAACGTGTGTTATCGTTGTGCTTTGTCTTTCTTTGTTCGTGTAGTTTGTCATCATTCTTGTGGTCCTTTGGGTTGCTTTAGACAGCAGCTCTCAAACAAATATGTGCACACGTCACTGACCCCCAAATGAACGCATATCTGACCACAGACCTTACATTTATTTCAGTGACTTTAGAAGTCATTGTCATCATTCAGCAACTTCAGTTCGCTGTAAAATAAGTGAGAGTGAAACCTAGGATTGCAATTGTCTTGGACACTGTACTTTATAGTGAATATAAGATGATATATGTAGCATTTTAACAATCCATCACACCATTATCTTTGTCCATTAGCATAAATATAGAAAATAAACTTTATTAAATCAGGAAATCTGCTGGACAGTTGTTCCTCTTGCACAAACTGAACTTAAGTTAATTATAATCATTGAGTGATTATGTATTCACTGTTAGCTCTTAGAGCAGGGTGGTATGGTTGAAAGCAGTGTCATCATATTATTAATACTATTTTTCTGATATCTGTATCAAATAATGTATCATAAAATACAATTGTTAAACTATTATGCTTTAAATCTGTAAGAACTCTTGAAATGTCTAAAACAAAACCTTCAATAACTGAATTAGCTAAGAGTTATTAGTTGAGACATCCAAATTTTGTAAAAAAAAAAAAACACAATATGATTTTGTGATCATCATATGATAACACTGATAGCCAATTAATGATAATAATAAGTTATCTCTTCTTTTTTTTTAATTATTTCTGGTGTGAACCTGCTAATAATCTTAACTAAGGTCTCATTTGGTTTTGACAGCTCTACCGAGTTATTTAGCCAGATCCCCCCCGGATGCCTCTTAGAGGGCGAGATTACACATACTAATACCCACAAGTTAGCTCTGGTAATAAAGTGATGTCATCCCACATGCAGGATATAACCTCATAACTGATCTCTGACCTGAACTCTCTGGCAGTCGGAAGTGGAAGAAGCCACAGATGGAAGATGAGAAGGTGGGGGAGGAGGGCAAACGGGAGTGGAGTTTGTTAGCTGTGTTGTCTGGGATTCCAGCAGGATTAGGCAGAGGAAGTCGTGACTCTATTTGTGGCACTTAAAGGGCAAAGCTGGAGACAAAACCAGAGAGTGACGTGACCACAATGTGGATTGTGCACCACAATCACTTTTATGTCCACGCGCATGCACACGGACATAATAACAACCACTCGAATACACACGTGCAAATGCTTGATTAACTTGAGCTTTTCTACATGGCAAACAGTCTAATACTATATGACTTACAGCAGTGTGTGTGTGTGTGTGTGTGTGTGTGTGTGTGTGTGTGTGAGAGCAGAGGAATGCTGCTGTTTGCTGAGTGAAGAGCACAGAGGCAGCAGAGACTGTCCAAACACACGTCTGTTTGTCAAGTGTGTGTGTGTGTGTGTGTCTGAGAGGGGGCGACTGAGACAGGGTGTGTATTTGGGACAGTGTGTGAGCAAAAGGGGAAAGTTTGTTATGAGCAGTGATGGAAAGAGGTTTAGAGCAGCTCTGTGTTTGTGTGAGGTGTGTGTGTTCTCCCTATGCTATGACCTTCTACAATCAATGAGGACTTTCATATCCACTCCTAGTCTGCATGGTAGGGGAGCAGACAGGACTGAAAGAGGTCTGTCTCTTCATACCTGTGACCTACTCACTACACACCCACACACACTTGCCGCACTGCAGACTTTGCTCAGGTTGTGTTTGTGTGTGCGTGTGTTTACTGTACTGTTACGTGTTTGTTTGGCTGATTAGAGGTCAGGAAGGTGGGTGAGAGATGGAAGGATGGAAGGAAAGATGGGGATGATGGTGATGGAGAGGGGCAAGAAATGGAGGGAGAGAATTACTGAGCAAAAGAGAGAGGATAAAATAAGAAAGGCAGTGAGTAAGTAAGTGAGTAATATTTAAAATCAGTGGTGGTAGTAAAGGGTGTGAGTAATAGGTGAAGGGAGGAATTCCTGAAAATATGGGTGGAGGAACGGGGAAAGGAGAGGAAAAGGATGGAAAGAAAGGCAGGATCAAATGAGTAACAGCAGAAGGTAAAGAGAAAGATGGAGGGAAGAGTGATATGGGGAAAGATGAAAGAAGTTGAAAGGAGGAACATATGGCAGGACACTGGATGAAAAGGAGGAAAGATTGAAGAAGAGAGAGAAGGAACACAAGGAAAAATCAAGGGAGAGATAAAAACGGGTCAGTTCATCTACATTACGAAATTAAAAAAATCAAACATATTTTCTCAATTATTCCACAAGAGATAAATGATAGAACATGTTGGATCTCTTGTAATTTGGCTGAAATAACCCTTTAAAGGAGACCAGGCTTCAGAATATTCAAATGACATTTGACAGGTGTGGACACACACACACACAGAAACATCATTGTGAATGTGTGTGTGTGTGTGTGTGTGTGTGTGTGTGTCTGTGTGTGCACAGTGTGATTTATTCTGAGGCCAGGTCTGCTTCCAGCTGTCCCAACGGAGTCCCAATGACTTTAGCAGCCGTAGACCTCCATCAGAGAGAGACGGGGGAAGAGAGAGATGGAGAGATTTGGTGGGAGGGGGAGAGAGTGGGGTATGGATAGTGGAAAAGTCAACATCATTTTCAATCTGCTAATTCTATTAGATTTTCTTCAGAGCAGAGATTTTCTTTTTCAGTGAGCGGCCATGTGCCCTCAGGTGTCCATATATCCATCATGATACAGACATGTTTGACTAGAAACAGTCGTCGTACTGCTCTGTTCAAAGCTACCAGACTTCATTGAGAAAACGTTATACCTTGCAGAACACACGGGTTGCCGGTCCCCCGCTGCCTCGATTGGTTAGCTTGTTTGTATAGTGGTGTTTTAAAGGGTTAGTTCGAACATCAACTCCAGGTTGAAAAAATACAGAAGTTTCCCTTTAAGTCTGTTCGCCAGAAAAAAAAGAAAAGTACTGGCTTACATTTACATTTATGTTTGTCTACTTTTTGAGGTCATGCAAGCAGATTTAAAGTGAACAAAGTCTTCCAATTCAAGCAACTGGTTGATTTTTATATATATATATATATATATATATCTTCATGCAGGACACTCGTGAGAATCCAACAGGTCCAAATGAAAGGATCAGATAGGCTCACATAGTATTTCTGTGCTAACAACACAGTCTTCCCTTGGAGTTGTCATTCTGAAGTGAGGTCATTTGAGTTGTAGATTGTAGAGTTTACTCTAAAATACAACCTATATAATATAACCTTTGACTTGAACATTTGATGTAAATATACAGGTTGATTCACTGCAATAAGGGGCAGTTTACCCTGGTCTGCCCCTCAGTGTGTGTGGCTGTGTTTGTGTCTCTGCATGTGTACTGTTGATTGATGAATGTAAATGAGAATTTACTTTAGATTGAGCTGCCTGGTTAAATAAATAATTCTCCTCCTCCCTTGCAGGTCCTGCTGAGGTTCCCATGATGTCCCCAAATGGATCAATCCCCCCCATCCATGTACCCCCAGGATACATCTCACAGGTTAGTTTGTGTTTAGTTTTTCCTCAGTCTGATACTCTCAGACATGTTTTTTATTTTCATCATGTGTTTGCGTGGGAGAGTTTCGGTCAAAATAACTGTCAGACACAGACAACACAGAGTGTGCGACTGCATTTAATTAGCTGGTGGTTTCTGTGCTGAAAAAAAAAATAATTGTATGCCGTCATGTGACCTAATATCGACACTCAAAATCAAGTAAGTTATAAGTATAAAAACCTATTTTAATATGTTAGGATTATGGTTTGGAAAAGTCAAAAATATTCAGTATTTTTTTAATTAGGTGTCAGTTCACTGGTGTCATTTGAGCAGCCTGCCTTCTGGTTTGTTTCAACATACTGACGCTTGTTTCTGGAGAATTCCTGAAATGCAGGAAGGAAAATTAAATCAAAATTATGTATTGACAGCCAAAAAATTGTTGCATTACAAGTATGATTGTGCAACATGAGACTAGAGATGTTCCAATACCATTTTTTCCCTACCGATACTTGTGCTGTGGGTATCG